ATATAAATTTATGCTTTTAACACAGGAGACTCGCTTGGAGCATTTTCTTGACAACATCAAAGGGAGATTTAAGAACACAGAGCGTATCAGAAATCTCCACTGCACAACAGATGTAAATTGATCATGTTCCGTAGATAAGACCAGTGAACTTGCTGATTTCGATATGGAGCCGGATTAATGGAAAGGCTTCCTGAAGGACCTTCCAGGCGACAGATAGGTACAGCGGAATTTTAGACTGAATGAATAATTAGGACAAAATCAATTATTACATTAATTTTATTTATTTTGAATCGCTTTGCTTTGCCACCTTTCTGCTACAAAGAGAAAATTCAATAAAGTTTTCGATTACTTTGAATGTTTGTATCAGCTGAAGAAATGACGACAATTTAAATCTTGGCATGATGATCAAGTTTTGTCCCATTTTTAATCCGGTGAACAACATGTATATGCCGTATATATGAAAGAACGGTAGAAACGCAATGATCGCATCGTTGAAACCGGGTTTGCTTATACTTTCGTTGCTAAACAAAAATTACAACATGGCCCAATCGGAGTAAAACACAGAATGCTCCTGCTTACCAGTAGCAATTCTGAACAGCGACGGCGAAGTTCAAATGCGAAATCATGACGACTTTTGGAGGTCCGGTTGTCCCACTCGAGAAAGGAAGCAGGGCGAGATCTTTGTGAACCTCAAAATCGACTGACGGTAAAGGATCCATCGAATAACAAGCGGGAAGTAAAGGAACGATCGTTTCTTTCAGCTCGACGGTATTCGGATCAAGGTTCACCATATCAGCGACGAATATTTTCTGAGCGAAAAGCGTGAAATTTTAGAGGAAATTACTCAATGCCAAAATTTTAATCAAAATTTACTACTCCCACACTTATACTACAGTGAATGACATCAGGGAACAGGCGCTATCTTATTTAAGCCTGCAGAACGTGATTTTGCTGTTCGAATAATATCTGGATTTCTTATAGGCTTCAACTACAACTTGGACACCTTTCGGTGCTGTAAATGACTACAACGGTTGATTATTAACAGCCAGGAACGAAGAAAGCTTTCGAACAAAGACAAAAACGTCTTTTGATGTTCATCATGACAAACCGACAGTAGCGACCAAAAGAAGTGCTACTTTTACTATATACTGCAAGCGCTTAAACAAACAGTTTGAATTCGAATGTCATCGACCTTCAAATAAAGAGTGACGAGATAAATTCCGATGAATACTTAGATAATTTAACAGCGGCTTGTGCCACGTTGACGAGAAGCTACAATTGCTATCTCATTCATGATGTATTTATTGCTTTTAATTTCCTTAGATCAAAACTAATAATGACATGAGGAAAGCCAGGAATTGAAAGCTGTGAAGCTTGCAAAACATGGACTGCGGAGAATATTAGGAAAAAATGGATACAACGGAGAAAAATGTTTTAAGCAGAAAGTTAAAGGAAGTCTTATCAATTAAAACAAAGCCGTTCCATTAAAAATGGTGTTGGCATGGAACTATGATCGCTTTGAAACGAAGGTGTGAAATAGTCTGTACTATCGAGACAAAATCCTTCATTGTGAAGTTAATACCTGACTGTATCAATACCTACTGTAATATTCTCTCTGAACTTAACCTCTGCCTGCAGAAAACGCGAGTATAATCCGAAGCATGGAGAACATGTACATAATAATTCTGATATACAGTGTCATCCCTAAAGTACTTTTCAAATTTTTCACAAATACTAATATACGAAGCCGAAAGCAAACGATCCTGACAATGGGTCAGGTATCAATCATGGTATTTAAATACCGTGCAGTCGTGGCTTGCATAGCTAGTCTCCCTAAGCGTCTAGAAGCAAAGAGACGGTGCGGTAGAGCTACTGATGTAAAGTGAGAAATAGATTTTTCTTTCTTTGCACTGTGCATTTGCGCCGTTTCAATCCGGTATCAATATTTTATTGTGAGATCAGGTATTTATTTGATTTGCTTTAAACTTTCCAGCGTAGAAGCACCGTAATTGCTATGTTCTTGAAAAATGGTGCAATACGCAGCCATGCTATTTCATGAAGGCGCATTTTGCTTGCCATTCGTCTTGACTCATCTGATAATTAACTATAATCCAGCAGAAGGCGTAAACATAAATTTAAAAATAGAAATTCAACTTGAAAAAATAAAATAATTCGGTAGCTACAAAGCTATGCATAGCTATATATAATCTGTTTTTGTAGGGATCACTGAGCAATAAATTTGAAAAGTAATTTACTGGATGTAGATAATTCAAATTTATGATATATGTATTCTCCATCGTTTCGGATCATTCTCTTCATGAAGAGACATAACGCGAAAACAGACTGAGCAGCAAAAATCGTTATAATTATGTCATTAAATGAATGCTTGTATAATAAACTATTATATAATATGATGATTACCACCACGGACGAGTTTTCGAACTTGACTGCCTTGCCGACCTTCTCCAAGATACGCGCATTGGTTATTATAAAGCAGCTTCCATTCTTTTGAATATAGTTTCGAATTTCCCCTTAAAGTAAATATTTAGAAGAATTAGTTTTTGGATTTAGCGATCCGTAAATAATCTTATTCTGTATATATCATCGATTTTAAAGAGACAATTTTATACTTATCGTTCTTTGTCAAATTCTGTCAAACTTGTTCAGAAAATGTTTTTTTAATTGTTTATTCACCATCACTTGGAACCCTTGTTCATCCATGCTCATCTCAATCTCTCAGTCCCTCTCTCCAAAAAACTAATATTTTCCCTCCGTTTCTTCAACTGTTTCCAAGATTGCACCATCTGTCATATGCCTCTTTATAAATATGATTTCAAAATTTTTACCTTCGGTATAGTCTGGATTCAAACCTGATATGACCCCTCCTCTTGATAGCACGGCAAGCACTGCGCATCCGTATTCGGCGCAGTTCGGTAAGCAAAACGAAA